TAAAAGATTTTTTTTTTTTTTTTTTTTTTGAACGAAGTTAATAGATTGATAAGTGTAACTTTTTCATAATTTTTTTTCATTAATACCCTTAAAGTATGCTAATATCGCCATCATGTGAGCACTTTTTGTTCATTTCTATAACAGTAAGTGATGGGAAGGACTATAAGTTGAATCGAATTGGTCCAATTATAAATGGTTATTTAAATTAATAATAGAATAATAATAAAATTCACATATGTTCCCTTAAAATGTGCTTTATTTCATATTGATACTTCAAATTTTAATTTCATAAATTTTGTCTCAAAGCACTTACGAAGAAGGTGAAACACAACTTTACAATATTTCGGTAAAATTAAAATTTTAGAAATCAAAGTGACACATAACACATATTTAAGTGACTATAAGTATATTTGATTGTTATTTTTTTAATAATTTAGACTTTTTGTTTGAAATTTGACCAATTTAATTCAAATTAAAAAAAATTATAAAATTAAAACTTAAAAGGTCAAAATTTCAAGAAATGCATATTTTAAAAATTATAAATATATTTATCATCAAAGTTTTCTATCGTTCTGAAGGCCCCAGTTATGTATCTTGATTTGCTCTTGTATGGATGGGAAACATGACAGGCCTATATATATGTGTGTATATATATGCATATGGGAAAACATTATGAGAGTACAAAGGTGTAGATCATATGCACTTTATAATTAAAAAGAAAAATAGTATAATTTTAATTTTTTAAATCATAATTAAATATATATATATATCATAATTAAACACAACATGAAACATAACTAAAGAATTCATGAGTTATAACTAAAGTAATATCATAACTAAAAAAGAAAATAACATAATTACAGATGCATATAGTATACCAATTTTAAATGAGTGTATATTACAATTTCCCACATTGTGTGTATATATATCCCAGAAAACTCTATGGTACACACCTGTTAGTCCCACATATATTTAATTGTATATTTAGATAGTTTGAGGTGGAATAAATATTAAAATAATGGGAATGACTATTTCTAAAGGTTAGGTAATGAGATAAAATTGGGGGAACAAGTAATTCCTTAGGGGTTTTAAATTTTAAATTTTAAATTTTTAAGAACATTACGTGATTATATACTGACGTAACAATAACAAGCATTTATTCACTTTTAACAAGAAATAGAAATAATTTAAACACATAGTTATTAATAATTTTGAATTACCTAAAAAATAATAATATGAAAGATAAGGCAACTATTTTGAGAGAAGAATTTTTATTTATTTTTTAATTCCCAAACAGTAGACTAGAGGAATAAAGAGACAGGGATAGGGTCCCAATTTGACTTCAAATCAAATTACTTCCTAAATTCATGTACATCCCAACAGCCATCATATAAACGCCACGCCCATTGATTTCAATAAAGCCAAAAGCCCCCAACTAAGAAAACATTTTTGACTGCTTTTTGCATTGGATAATGCTTACTATATACAGTAAATCAAAGAGTTTGGCTTCTGTTGGGCCCGTAGGGCCTCCGACGAGTACCATTTCGATAATCTGAACCGTTTATGTGTAGAACTCGTCGAGTATTATATGTTTATAAAAAATCACGTTGATCAGATATCAATAGTTACGTGATAAATCAGTTTTGTATAAAAAGAATAGACGGTGAAAAAATAAACGATTGACAAAAATCTAATCCGATGAGATAGCTATCAATATCCGATCAATGTGATTTTTTTACAAACATATAGTACTCGACGAGTTTTATACATTGAATCGTTCGGATTATCAAAACGGGAGCTGTGATGGCCCTCACGAGGCCAACAGCACCTTTCAATCCAACCAGAAACTAGAGAAAAGCCAATCCCTAAATAAAATTATATTAAAAACTCCGAATGTTTCATTTATGTTTATTTATGATAAATTAAAATGTTCATCATTAGATATATGTAAAATATCGTTGTGAATATTATTATCAAATCATTTTAAATTTTCTTATAAAACAAATAAAATCATTCTGATTTTAAACTATGTATAAATATCATTTTCTATATACATACAAAATATTCATTGCATAAATACGCATAGAAATGTGAAATAAACATATAGAGCAACGATATATGAGAAGAAAAAATGTACAAAATTTGTAAATGCGGTTGCATTGATACTTATAATGTTAAAACAAAGTGCTTACATTAAAGTGACATTTAATTATAAAAATGTCACAATCACATAAAGTCGTAAAATTTAGGATAAATATGTTAGTAATCTCTATATTTTATCATTTATATCATTTTTTTTCTTATACTTTCAATTGGCTCAATTTTGACCCTTAATTTTAGATTTTATATCAATTAGATTCAATTGATAAAATTGCTAACTTTTTTACGGAAAATAATTACTGAGTTGATTGAGGTTAAATCAATGGGGGGGGGTGGTTAAGTTAATGGATTGATCAAGTTTATAATTTGCTTTTAAAAATATGACACATGTCACTCATATATACATTTTTCATAAAAAAATGCTAATAGTTGAAATCAGTTAGACCAATTTGAGACAAAGTAAAAATAAAGATCAAAATCGAGCTAATTAAAATTATAAAGACAAAAATGACATAAAAATTGAAATAAAACGACTAGCAGTGTAATTTTTTCAAAATTTCATATATAAGTTATGTTTAAATAATATTTTTCATTTTACTATGTTACAAAATTGAAAAGTTGGCACGGACATCCAGCAAAAAAAAAAAATTTCTTTTGTAGTAGGTAGAAATGTATTAATAAATGCACAAATCAAGGCAAGGCATGTAACCAAAGAAGACCATGTCATCTTGGAATTTGCGGCTGCTATAGATTGAACATTAGCCACGCGGTTTAGCAGACAAAGAGTGACTTCTAAACTTTAAGCAAGCTGTCATACATTGAACATTGCCCTATAAATTGATGTGTCCCTTACACTATCTCAATCATCTTCATTCCTAAAATCTACATTACTCACTTGCATTGCATTTTGAACTTCTATTGTGTTGTACTTCTAGGCTATCTATTAATATTACTAGCCATGAGTTCTTCACTGATTAATTTTTCTAGCAAATCTTATGCTACTTTTGCTTCATCCTTGCTTCTCATGCTTTTGATTTTGAATTTAAACACACCTTGTAATGCTAAGTTATCTTCCACTTTTTATGACCAAACCTGTCCAAAAGCACTCGGGGCTATTAGAACTTCTATTCGACAATCGATTTCACGCGAGCGTCGGATGGCAGCTTCGCTTATTCGCCTCCATTTCCACGATTGCTTTGTTCAGGTAATTCACACTTTGATTTTTTAGTTGTGTAAATTTGGTCTGATCTCTTATTTATTTAATTTGTGTTTAAATGACTCTCAACAACATTTCCCTCCAAATTTGGACAAAAATAACCCTACATTTGTAAATTTGTTCGTATTTTATAAAAAAAAATACCCCAAATTTCACCAAATTTGGATGAAAATACCAGTATTTCCACTGTAAAAATATCCAAATAAAATATCCACTGTTTCTAGTGTATGAAGAAATTAAAACCCTATGTTGCTGCCAAATTTTGTACAAAATCCATGCTTCCGTTATAAAATTTCAACAAAAGATTTATAAGTTGGATAAGTTGCGATACCAAATTCACATAATTGAAATATTAGAAACCAAAATGAGAAAGAACCTATACTTTAGGGACCAATAATGTATTTAACACAACACAACACAACAGTAAAGCTATGTCATATATAGTTTAGTTCGTCTACATATATTGTATTAATTATAATACTCTTGTATTTACAGGGCTGTGATGCATCAATCTTACTTGATGAATCAGCTACCCCTACAAGCGAGAGGAGTGCAGGGCCTAATGCGGGTTCTGTAAGAGGTTTTGAAGTGGTAGAGGCTGCCAAGTCTGCGGTAGAGAAAGTATGTCCAGGAGTTGTTTCTTGTGCAGACATACTTGCAGTGGCAGCACGTGATGCCTCCGTCTATGTAAGTAAATACGATACTAAGAAATATATTGACATTTTTCAAAAATTTATCTATTTTATTATATAAATATAGCAACATACATTTCAAAATTAGTTCCATGCCAATTTTTGCCTATTTGCATTTCATGAAGAGAGTGTGCATATAAACTTGTAGTAATTGTTGATTGGGTTTGTTGTGAATTAATCAGGTGGGTGGTCCTTCATGGAAAGTGAAGCTTGGAAGAAGAGATTCTACAAGTGCAAGTCGTAGTTTAGCAGAGAGTGATCTTCCAAGTTTTGCAAGTACCCTTGACCAACTTATCTCCAAATTCAGTAAGAAGGGTCTCAATGCAAGGGATATGGTAGCCTTGTCAGGTAATACAAAACATTACTCTTTACTAACGTTTATTTTTATAGTTTTCTGTTTATGTTTATAAAAGAGTAATGCTAGGTTTCATAAAATAAAACACATAATGAAAAGTTTTTTGAAAATTCTTCATCCTTAGATTAGTTTGTGATGTTTTATTATATGTTAGGCAATCACATATTTAAAAATGAAAAATGTTCATCAAGTTTTTCAAAATATTTCTTTTATGAAACCTGACATTACTTTTATAAAAATATGGACAAATTACATATACCTCCCTTAAGGTTTGGTTAAATTACAGATACCCCTGAGATTTCGGAAATTACATCCCGCCTCCTAAGGTTTGTATTTTCATAACAATTTGCCCCCTGAGGTTTAAATTTCATAACAAATTACCCCCTAATTTGTTATGCAAATATAGCATTCAAGGGGGAATTTGTAATTTCTCAAATCTCAGGGGAGTATTTGTAATTTAGCCAAACCTCGAGGGGTATATGTAATTTGCCCTAAAATTATTGAAAATTATAAATGAAAACTCTGTTTATTTTCGTTTAAAAAATATTGTATAAAATTTACTAAATTCCTATGGTAAAAAAGTTATTTTCACTAGTTTTAAAAATGAGTTTCATTCCCTCTTTCATCCCCTTTGGCCACCACTTATCCCTTATCACCACAGGAGGCCACCCCCACATTAACGACCTCATCTGGTCATCCACACCTTTGGCAATCACATTGCACTAGCGACAACAATCTTCAATCATTGACAACCACCTCGGTCACAACCTCTTGCTGATAAACCATCTCCAGTCACCACCTCCTCTTTGTCGACAACCACTTATAGCCACCACCCCCATATTATTGGCAACCACCTATTGCCACCACCTCTGACCATCACCTTTGGCAATTGGCAATTACCTCCGACTTGATAACCACCTTGGTCGACCACCTCCTAAAAGCAACCACCTTCAGCAATTCTCTCTCGCTTGATTACAAAACTAATTTCTAGAAGACATATGTATAAGTGTACCAAACTTATTTTATGCTTTTAAATTTCCAAACAAACTGTAAACATTATCAAACAACTACACAACATTGTTGATAGTATTTATTCCTCTTTTGTCGACAAACAATAATTAAATGTACGTTGATTTGAAATGTAGGATCACACACAATCGGCCAGGCACAATGCTTTACATTTCGCAACCGAATATACAACAATGGTAGCAATATTGATGCTAGCTTTGCTAGCACACGCCGTCGCGGCTGCCCTGCCACTACCAGTAGTGGAAATAGCAATTTAGCACCTCTTGATTTGGTGACACCCAATTCTTTTGACAACAACTACTTCAAGAACTTGATTCAAAAGAAGGGTCTGCTTCAAAGCGATCAAGTACTTTTCAACGGAGGATCAACAGACAGTATAGTGTCAGAATATAGCAAGAACCCTTCAAGCTTCAAATCCGATTTCGCATCAGCAATGATCAAAATGGGAGATATTAAGCCTCTCACTGGTCAAAAAGGGATCATAAGGAGGATTTGCAGTGCTCTAAATTAAGATTGGTTTGGTAAATGTTTATTTGTTTATTTATTTTAATTTTTTAGGATAAAATTGTTAAAAAGTTTGTGCGTTTGACAAACGTTAAAATTTGGTTTTTGTTTTTTTGCTTTTTATTTCCCTTTCATTGAGTTTCATTTGTGGGTGTTGGGTTTGCTTTGGTATTTGTAGAGGAATTTGTTCTATTTTGTCAAACTGTGAATCAATTATAATATTAATGGTTTGGTTGTTTTTTTATTTCATTGTGTTCCAAATCAATAAAAGACCTACTTCATATATAAGGCCGGTCTGAATTCTTCGTGGCCCTAGGCTAACTCTTAAAATGGAGTAGTCCGTTACATGTAATCCTAACAACAAAAAGTATGGGTAGAATGATTACTAACTACAATTTTTTTTTTTTTGTTTAAATACTCACACAAATTATGTGTTTCATTTTAAATTAGCAAATAATTTGTGTTAGTATTAGGTAAATTACATTGACATGCCATGAGATTTGAAAAAATATATATATAATGAGCTCCACAAGTTTGGCATAATTATACTAAGTTCAGGGACAGAACAGTGTACGGGCCGGGGCCCGGCCCCCTTCAATTTTTGACAATTTATTATTAATTCTATATTTATTATTAGACATTTTTTAATTTTATAAGAATTATTTTACTATTTTTTTAGTTTCATTAGTGTTTTACAATGTCTAATAAAACAATCTCTAATTATTTCACATTTTAAATAAGGGAGTTTTTTTTAAGGTCCGTAATAATAACAATTTAGAGGATAAAGGACACCCAAAAAGATAGTGATGCATCACGTCCCTGAAACAACTTGGCGCGCGTTTTTAATTATTTTGTGGACCAAAATACCCTTGCCAAAATCAACACAGAAACAAACTCATTCCGACGTCTGAGTTACATTCCAAACATCCAGCATCTTCACGAACAGGAGAACAGCAGAATTAGGGTTTCAACATCATCTGCACCATCGACATTAGAGCTTCATTATCTTCTCCAAAAATCATTCTCATTCCGTCCTCACAAATTTCTCTGACCTAGGTTAAAGCTTCGTTTTCACTGCTCATCATCATCTCAGTCCATCTTCGTCACGTCGCATCTTCATCTCGGGTCATATCAGCTTGTCATTCAAGTTTCATCCTAACTCTGGTCAGTTTTTCTACAATACAACTAGATTTTCTCTGGAAACACAGTTAATAGCATTTTATAATAACCTTCCATAAATTAGGGTTTCAATTTCGTAATAAAAAGCTACCTGAATTTGGAAAAAGTTATTTCTGTGTATTTTGAACTTATTCTTCAACATGTTTGTGTGATTTTATCTGTAAATTTCTCTGGCATTTGAATTTCTCTGATTTTTTATTAATGTACGTTTCTTCTTTCAATTTTCTCTGACATGTTTATTTTCACAAAAACAATTTTTTGTGTTTTTATCTTATTCTTGAACATGTTTCTGTAATTTTGTCTATAAATTTTCTTGCTCCGTAAATTTCTCTGTAATATGTATTTTTAATTGGAATGTCTATCTTAATCTGGAATGTCTATTGCTTTCTTGCCTCTGTCTTAAGTTTCTCTGGTATTTATAATTTTCTCTGACCACATCACATCACTTTCCTCCCTTGTGTCTTTGTCATTTTTAATTTTCTCTGGAATTTTAATATTATGGACTGGAATGAATGTTTCTTCTTTGAATTTTCTCTGCCATGTGTACTTTGAGAAAAAGTTATTTCTCTGAATTTTGATCTTATTCTTGAATATGTTTCTGTCATTTTGTCTATGAATTTCTCTGCTTTGTAAATTTCTCTGGAATATGTATCTTTCTTTGCAATGTCTATTACACTCTTGCCCCTGTCTAAGTTTCTTTGGAATTTATAATTTTCTCTGACCACATCGCACCACTTTCCTCCCTTGAGTGTTTCTATCATGGTTAATTTTCTCTGGTTGTGTATGTAAATTTCTCTTGCATTTTAATATTATGAATTGAAATTTTCTCTGGAATGAAAATTTCCTCAAGAATGTGTAATTTTCTCCAGAATGTGCATTTTTCTCTAGTATGTTTATTTTGTTCAATTCTTGATTTCAATATGGTGTAATTCTCAGTGGCATGTTTACATTACTTTGTTTATTTTATCTTTGCTAATTGTGGAATGGAAATTTTCTTTCACTTGCCATGTTTACTTTTTTCTATCATTCATTTTCTCTGGTATGTTTACTTCTATATGTAATTTAAACAATTATTGAAAATTTCTCTCCCATGTTTATGATGCTGTGTTGATTTTCTCTGACATTTAATTTTTAATGTCCAATTTTCTGGCATGTCAAATTTTCTCTGGCATGTCCGATTTTCTGTAATTTTCCCTTATCTGTAATTTTATCTGGCATCTCCAATTTTCTCTTTTTTGTAATTTTCTCTCTTATCTGTAATTTTCTCTGACATGTCCATTTTTCTCTGGGATTTAATGTTGACATCTCTATGTATTAATCATTGTCTAGAAATGGCAAAACGTAAAAGCAGCGAAACACCGGAAACACCAAGCAAAAAATAGAAACTCTCTCAGTCTTCTTATGGACTAGGATCAAAAACCAGCAGCAAAACACTAGAAACACCAAGCAAGAAAGAATAACTCTCTCAGTCCTCTTATCATCTAAGATCAAAAACCAGCACTAAAACATCACAAACTCCTTCCCAAAACACACAAGTCCAAGCTGATGAAGCAACTAGCATCCAGATGAGTACCCCAACTTCAAAAGACTCAAGCTCAAGGGGGAAAAAACCTGTTAAACTCCACAGAAAGAGAGCTCACTACAGCATTCAATTCCGATCCAACCTCTCATCTGTCGTCTCCTTCTTTCAAACACTTAAATTCAGTTCAAAACATCTTCTAGAGCTTCAAAAGACCCCATTCTGGTATTTGATTCAAGCTCTAACCACTGGAAGGATGGATCCAAAGAAATCTAGGAAATCCGATGATGATGTAGTTGCCATAATCCAATGTTACAATGAAAAAACAAAAGCATTCACAGTTGGGAAGAAGAACCTGACCTTTACAACAAATGACATGACCTTGATTTTTGGTTTGGAAGGAGGTAAAGGAGCCATGTCATTAAGATACTCTAAAAAGCCAAAATCTGCATTCCTCAGAAGAAGATTCCAAAAGGACACAAGGCTCACTAGTCTTGTTCTTAAAAATGCCTTGATCAAAGCAATGAAAGGCAAGCAACCAACTGACTTCAAAGATGTAGCAATCATTGTTACATTGTACTTGTGTCTCACCCTATTTTTTGCAACAAGTGGGAATTCAATAGGTTGGGTTTTTATAAAGCATGGGGAACGTCTTGAATCAATGAAACAGTATGATTGGCCGGAAGCAATCACATCAACATTGATTGATTCTATCATGGCATTGCACAAAACTCCAGAAAAAGTTACGGGGTGTGTCATTGCATTGCTGGTAAGTATAATATCCATTCAAAGTTGCAGTTATCATACTTACAAATTTGTGCGTTTACAAAATTTTATTTACTTTCATTTTCATCACAGTATTGGCTATGTGAACATGCAACTATCATTGACTCAGAAGACAGTAACACAACAAACTTCCCAAGATGTGCCAAGTGGAACCTTCAAACCTTGACGAAACAGCTGCAGAAGACACCAGTCCACTCTCTTGCACCTCAACAGGTTAGATTCTATTGCCACTGAAATCTTAGTGAAATTCCAAAATTTCTCTGACCACTGCTTTGTTTCCCTCCTTATGCATTGATTGATTAAGATTAATTTTCTCTGAAATATCAATTTCTGTTTTCTTCTTTGTTAACCACTGGTCTATTTCTGCCATTGTAATCAATTTTTCTTGGAATTTTCTCTGCCATATGTACTATGAGAAAAAGTTATTTCTCTGAATTTTAATCTTATTCTTGAATATGTTTTGTCATTTTGTCTCTGAATTTCTCTGCTTTAAACGACATGTCAAACCAGTACTCTAATTTTCTCTGGCCCAATACAATTTTCTCTGAAGTTTGTTTCCCATTAGTATCATTTAGATGAATTTTATTTTCCTTATTTGAATTTTTTCTCTCAGTGAATTTTGTAACATTTCTCTAATAAAAGAGTCTCCTGTTACAGATTGATAACAAGCAGCTAGTCAAAAACCCATCAGAGGAGTTCTGTCTTGGCAAAAAGACGAAGAAAGAATTAAAAAAGGCAATTGTCAAATTCAATGAGACATTACAAGATCCATCTCAAGATCGAGGAAATGAACAAGCAGAAGGCAACACAGAAGAATACGAAGCCAGCAATGGACAAGAACATCAAGCAAGCAGCACAGAAGAAGAAACCAGCGAAGAAAGTGAAGAAATAGAACCAGAAGACAAAGAACAAAATGAACAAAAAGAAGAAGACAGTGAACAAGAACATGAAGAAGAAGATGAACAGCAAAAAGAAAACAAGGATGAAAGTGATGAAAAAGAAAATAATGAGCCAATGGACCAACAACATGATGGCATTTGTGGCTCAACAATGCATCAGCCTGAAGAATTTGAGGAATCAAAGGATGCCCAAATTGCTGATCTACGCTAAAGACTGAAGGCATTTTCTTAATCTAAAAAAGAAGAAGACAGAAATTGGATTGAATTACTTGCTGAAAAGGATATTTCAATAAGAATCCTGACATCACATAACTCAGAACTTCAAGAAAAAGAAAGCGCAATCCGAATGAAACTAAGGATGTTGGAGGTTGAAAAAGCAGACGATACAAAAACAATTCAACAATTGAAGTGTTCAAATTCGGAGCTTGAAACTGAAAATGCTAAATTGCATGAACAAGTTCAAGAATTATCCGTCCAACTAGCAACACAACCATACCGAACACCAACACAACTTCAACCACAAGGTCAATGAAAATCTTGAGCCACAAAAAGTTATGTCCTTGTGTCAACATAACTCAGAGAAATTTATATTTATTATAATTTTCTATGTCATTGGTAATTTTCTCTGGAAGTTATATCTCTCTGAACACATTAGTTATATTTCTACTGCTCATTTCATTTCTCTGTATATTTTCTTATTCCATTTTTGGGGCTTGTGTAACAAGCCCGCGGGGGACCTCGCTACAGTTCGGACTCGACTTGTCGTCACGGTTCTAAATCTGAACCAAAGAGTCCAAATCCGGCAAATCGTTTTGAGAAAACAGATTTTTTTAAAAGAAGTGCCGAACATGGGCTACTTTGCCA